CCCACCCCCTGCCACGAGCCGTGAACATGGTGCTCTGCTCGGTGGGCATCCAGCCCTCGGTCCAGAGGACAGGGAATTACAGGAAACACACATTAGAAAGATCCCTAGAAGTTATTTATTCCAACCTTGCACCCATTACTCGGGCCTCAGCCTTCCAAGATACACAACACGCAGGGCAATGTGACCTACAAGGTGCACCAGCTCCTCTTGAGCTCCTGGTGGTTTGGACGCCCCTGGTCCTGTCAGCGGTGCCCGGGACATCAGCGGATTAACCTGTAGGTTTCACGGCCGGGTGTCTAGCTGCTATCTAGCTGGAGAGTCTTGGGCAAGTTACTTGACCTCTTTGAGACTCAGTTTCTTTATCTGAAATGGGACCACTGGATGCTGTGAGAATTAAATGACACTGGCAGGAGTTAATGAACTTCCAGGCACAAGGTAGTCACTCACTAAATGGCAGCTGTTGTGGTCATTTTGGTAAGAGTCAAAATTCTCCATTCCTGGATGCTTGCCCACCCGACGCATTTCTTCCTACGGTTCTCCTTACATACGCCCTGCTCCACATGGTTTCCTGAGTGAGGCCTGATGACTCATGCCTCCAACCTTCTGCCAGACATGCCTTTCTGTCCACATGGCTGACTGTGATGCACCCTCACGGTCTCTCTGCCTCCACAACCTATGCCCTTTGGCCTGGTGTCCCTAGAAATGGAGGATGGGGTCAAGGAAAGAAGTTGCGGGTCTAGTCCCCAAGACCCTGCTCACAGAGCCGTTTTCAGGAAGCTGCTCTCGGGCACTGCTCCTGCTGCTCTGAATCGGCAGTGTTCAGCCCAAGGGCGGTAGCAGATACTCATGTGAGCAACCAGCCAAAAGTGGACGTTAGGGAGACCAGGTTTAGATTTGGCCTTGGTAGTGAGCTGATTATCCACTGTATCTTTTCAAGGGATCTCTCAAGTCACCAATATGGACCCGCCTAGAAAGATCCCTGAAGGCTGTTACGATTGTGGAGATGGCTTCTATGACCCGGTCACAAGGATAATCAAAGACTATAGGAACCGCTTTTTGAGAAATGCAGGTATGTTCATTCTGACACCCTGTGGCACACGTTTTGTCTCCTCTCATTTACCCATAGGTTTGTGCATATGTGTGCACACACCTGTGTGCATTTGGTGAGAAAGAAACTTTTGCTGATAAAAGCCAAAAATTATTATCTCTTTCACAATTGGGAGTTCTTACAGCTGACAAGTCTGTACGATACAGTCACAGAATGAGGCAAAGGACACTTGTGGTTAACTGTGACTGCAGAGAAGTATAGCATGAAAAGGATTAAAGTACATATTTTTGCGTGCTTCCCTTTGACTCGTATTTAATGAGCACTTACTAAACGCTAGACACTACAGGCACCAAAGCTGGACACCAACCCCCTTCCTCATGGAGCTTATGTTTTGACAGGTAGCAGACAAGCACCAGAAAGGGTTAATCGCATCATGGAATAAGCCCAGTAAAAGGGGAAAACGTGGCCCCAGATTGGGGCAGGGGGAGAGGTGAAGGCGGGGAGTCCCAGGGAGGTGGGAGGGATGCTGTGGGAGCACAGAGAAGGGAAAACTCGTCCAGAATTGGAAATTCAGAGGGTTTCAAGAAGGAAGTGACAGCTAAAATGAGACCTAACGAGTAACTGGGAGTTGGCCACAGGGCATGAAGAGAGGTTTTCCAGAGAGGAAATAGCACAGGTAAATGTCGAGAAGGTGAATGATACCATGTGGTACCAGAATGCTGGCTGGCGCCCTCAGCCATGGGAGTACGTTGGAGGATCCAGGACCTCAGCTGGTGAGCGGACACAAGCTGATCAGGCTTATGGTGACCAAACTCAGAGGAGGCCAGTGTACAAGTAAGGACACTTTCCTTTAACATGGTGATTTGGAAACTTTCACTTTCCTAGAGACACAGTCCCACTAGGAATAACAAGAACAATGGACCCTCTTCCTAGAAAAATGTGTGTGCACACACATAATCATGCATATGCACACACACACGCACACGCGCACACATTTTTCATATAGTCTTAAGGAGTACTTCTTAAGACCCGGGTCAAGAAACCCTGCTCTAAAATCAGAACAAAACTTCCAGGGAGACCGGGAGGCCTGGGCTGGCTGATGAGAGCCTCCTCTCCCTACAGGGGCATTTACTCAGGGAGTCAGTGGTCATTCAGAAAGTTGCCTTGTGATGCTGAAGTAAGAGTAAAGGGAATGGTCAGCTGGTCTTCTGGCTGAATCCTGGAGCGGAAATAGCACTACCCCACCGGGGGCTACTGCGGGGAGGGTGGCAAATGTTCACATTCCACGTCTCCTGACAGTTTGCTTTAATGACTTCCCATTTGCCATTGACAGGGTAGATTCTGTAGAACACTAATTCTCCTGGATGTTAATAGGCTCTCTATGAAGTTTCTTGATTGAGTAAGCTAAAGAGATACTGAGTGAAACAATGCTCAACAATTTCATTTATTGAAGGGCTTCTCAGGGCCATTAATATGCTAATATACTTTGTACTTTTCCTTCCCAGCACTTATTTCAACTGTAATTAAAGCCTCATTTGTGTGATTAATTGCTTGAACGTCTGTCTGTTCCACTAGACTGTAAGATCCATGTGAGCAGGAACTCTGTCTCTGTATCAGGCAGGGTCCAGACAGGAGGACAGAGTGAACTTCGTATCAGGAAATTAGTTAAATAGATATTGGAGTACTGAAAAAGCATCGAGGTGACAGAATAAATAAATAACTGCAGGGAGCGACTACTACCTCAAGAACTGGGGGAGGAGCCGGAGACTGGGCTATTAGAACCTAGAGGGTCAAGAGAGGGCCCCCCAGAAGCAGCAACCCAGACCTGCGGGGAGGGGCCGCTGCCCAGCAGGGCTTCTGGAGAGAGAGCCATAAAGCGGATGGTAGGATCCCGGGGAGAACTGTAAACTGGAAGTGAGTCGGGCCGCATTGCTGACATTGACACTGACGCGAGCAACCAGCAACACAGAAAAGAGCGTGTTCCCCTCTGCCTCCATGTGCCTGGCAGCATCTAACTGGGGGCCAGCCGGCAGAGCAGAGATGTGTCCCACAGCTCGGTCCCGACTGCAAAGTGAGAATAGAATGGTAGGTTTGGAGCTGAGAGTTAGCAGCTCGGTCACTGGCACAGTCCCGCCGCCCTTTGGTTGTTGTTTGGCGTCCATACTTACTCTTCTGTCCTACAGACGGTGCCCTTCTGTGTGACTCCTTGCGAGGAGGCTTCATACAAATGCAAAGATGCTCTCGCCTTTCTTCCTAAGGGGGGAGTTCCTCCCCCCTCCCTCTGGGGCAAGTCCTGGGGATGAAGGGTGATTGAGCAGGGGTGAGGGGGACTGACCACCTGGCTGGGATACAGGGTGTCAGTCAGGAAAAAGGCATCATAAGTGATAGGTCTTAAAGAATGAGCAGGGATTTTGTTAGCAAGGATGTTGGGGAAGAGCATTCCATGTAGAGGGAACAGCATATGCAAAGACACAGAGGCATAAAAAAAAAAGGCATGGCATGACTAGGGAATCAGAAATTGTGGTTCCCAGAATCCTACCAAGCCATGCTTGGTGATAAAATTGAAAATGCATCATGGCACAAACAGATAGAGCACTGAGGATTTTTAGGGCAATGAAGTTACTCTGTATGACACGACAGGGATGGCTCCATGTTGTTATACGTTTTTCCGGCCCCGTTGAACGTACGCACCAGAGTGAACCCGAATGTAAACTTTGGACTATGAGGTGTCGGTGTAGCATCCCCAGAGGCACCCACTCTAGTGGAGAATGCTGACAATGGGAAGGCCACACATATGTGGGGGCAGGGGGTATACACAAAATTTCTGTGCCTTCCTCTCAATTTTGTTGTGCATCTAAAACTGCTCTGGAAAAAACAATAGCCTTTAAAAATGCGTCATGAGAAGGGAAGGCCATTCTTAGGAGTTTTGGAGAAGGATGGACACCGATGACTGGTCCACAAACACTTAGTGGTTAGTTGCCGTGGCTCTGACTCTGGGTTAGGCAGCATCATAGAGTCTTCTCTCAGGGAGCAGGAGAAACCGACAGTAAATCAGGGTTGCCACAAGAGAACCTAGGAGGGATACTTAACCCTGGAGGTCAGGGTCAGTGGGCCAGCAAGGTTTCCCAGAAAGAGCAAGATCTAACGGGAAGCCTAAACAAGAGCAGACACGTGCAGCAGGGTTGGGAAGAGTGTTAGAGGCAGAGGGAACAGCACGCGCTAAGGATAAGATGTGGGAGATCGCTGCCTATTTAGGGGCTACAAGTGGTTTGGGAGCATGGGACAACAGTATGTCGAGGGAAGAAATGTAAGAGAGGAAGCCCCAGGGGTGGGAAGGGGAAGAGCAGTAGGGGGAACAAGGGAGGGTAGTGTAGTAACTGATTCATCATTTGGAGAGATTTCTCTGGTTGCATATAGGGAAGGGGCCAAAGGGGGTAAAACTAGATCGGAAAGATGGCGAGATGGCGAGAGAGGAGCACCTGAAGGGTTTCGGGCCCCAGTGCTCTGTGCCAGAGGCCCAGGTTCCGAGTCCGGGCCCAGCTCTCGGGCTGCCTGCTGGCTGACCCTGGGCCAGTGCCTTCCCTCTCTGGGCCCCTGGCTCTTCATCTGTAAAATGAGGGGGTCAGGCTGGATAATTCCTAGGGTCCTTCCAACCTTAAGAGTCTGCGATGGAGGAGAAAGGTAGCCAAGGGGTATTTTGGTCCTGATATTATAGGACAGATCGAGCTTGGAGCGTCCTGAAAACCACTAAAAGGAGTCTCTGTGTATGGCCACCCAGTCATTACCTTTGACTCACCTCACCCTGCCAGGGACTGATCCGGACTTCTGTCCATCTCCTGTTTTCTCCGGGGCCCTTTCTCCCCTGCATTCTGGTCTGCCCCCATAAACAGTGCTTCCTGTTGGCCTCCTGAAGGTACAGGGCTGCCGGCCGTGCGGGCCTAAGGTGGTGCCTGAGGCCATCCCAGAATAAACAGAGTGGCCCGAGCCACTGCTATTACGAAGTACATGCCACCTTGGCTGGGTCAGGGCCGGGGACGCTCTTTTTATAGGAGGTCACAGGCTAGGGCACCAGCAGAAGGGTCGCCTTTGGTTCACCCTTGGGCCTCTCTGGAAGGCCCCGGCTCCTTCCCTGCCTCGCACTGGCTTCACCCCCCAGACCTGATGGGAAAGCCCTAGCCCACTGAACTACGAACCATGCCTGACAAGCCCGGGTTTGCTAGACTTGGGTTTTGAGAATGCCTTTCTTACCTGGGGAGGATGTACCTGCTCGCTGGAATCGGATGGGAATTTAAATCTATCCTTCCACTCACCAAAAAGCCTTTGAGTGTCCACCGTGTGCTGGGCTTTGGGGATCTGAGCAGGCAAGAGTTCTCTCAGACTGTGGCTCTCAAACCTTTGGACCCAGGCCCACAGTAAGCAGCAACGTACATCACAACCCAGTACACACAAACACACACACATTTGTACGTATTCTTTGTACACATGATGTACTAGGATATTTTCTATTTTAATTTTTTAAGTTTATTTATTTATTTTGAGAGAGACAGAGGGCAGGAGAGGGGCAGAGAGGGAGACAGAGACTCCCAAGGAAGCTCTGAACACTCAGCGCAGAGCCTGATGCGGGGCTCGAAGTCACTAATCGTGAGATCATGACCTGAGCAGAAATCGAGAGTCGGACGCTTAACCGACTGAGCCACCTAGGTGTCCCTATTTAATTTTTAAAAATCCTGGTTGCTAGGCACTGAGTGGATTTCACAACCCTCGTGAAGTTTGGGACCAACCATTGATAGATCGTTGTCCTAAGCAGCCTTCCCTGACCAACCTCCTCCCTTCCCCTCTGTCTCCTTCTCCGTTGGGTTAGGTGTCTCTCCTCCATGCCCCACCAGCCTCCCTAACAGCACTTAGCCCATAACTGCGGAAGCATCTTTATTTGACTAGCTCCCCCGCTAGACCAGCAGCTTCTTGAGGGCAAGGACCAGGTGACTATGTATGATTTATCACCGGGTCCCCCCGCACCGAAC